GCTTACCCCATCAGTTGTTCAGTAACACATACAGTAAGTACCTCCTAACTGTCTGTACTATCACACCTACATCACATTGCATGGTTTAGTGGCTACGCAGAGACCTAAGAACGATCATCACTCCAACTTTAAAGTCCCATGGACTTCAGAGAGATTATATGCCTTAATTACACATTTTTGTTCTTTCCTGGGACTAAAAACAAGGAGGGAAGGTGCATTATGGGAACTGAACATGTTACCTGCTGGGTTCTGTCTTGCAGCACTGCGCCGGTTAGAAGTATCAGTTCAGTCAATCTTGCAGAAAAAGCTGGTGTTGTCCTCCCACCACCAGACTATCTGGGTTCAACTCCAGACAAGAGAATGGAGTCTTCCAGAGGTACTGCTGCTAAAACACCAACTGACAAACCAGAAAGTGCAGGTCCGGTAAGTAACCCATGCCATTAATCTAAATGTTCTGCACCGCTTACTCTTCTTGACCTACTTAACTGAGCCCTTAAATGAGGCCCTTAATACTGTTCTATTTTAGATACTTGTACCTGACTTCAGTATCATTATGCTTTTCTGGTATCTCAGTCTACCTAGTGTAGTAAGAAGGGTGACAAATTGTTTGGGGATATAATTAAGAGCACTAGCAGCCCTGTTCTGCACAGCAGAGACATGGAATCTGTGAAACTTGAGAACACATTCTCATGGATAGCAGTACTTTCAAATTAAGTGTCTGGGAACTTCTAAAATAATTATGAAGAAAGAGTCTGTATTTTGACACATACATGGTTTTCATTTTTGGATAAAAAAAGCAATAAGCCTTAACAATTATATAATGTCAGATTTATACACAGGTTCATTTATTCTATCTGTTGAGAGCTCTGGGGATCAACATGTCCTTAAATGTAATTACGTTCACAGTAGTTAAAAGGTGTATCAGCCTGTGAAAGCTGCCAGGCCAGCAGTACAGAGAGTTCTTTGCCCTGTCACAAGTAAAAGGTGATTACTGCAGCCCTCTAATGCATCACATTGCCTTGGTGTCACCGTGCTGTGCTGCTGTGCGGCCTCAGTTGGCTCTCAAGGGCAGTCAACCATAAGAGTGTTCTTTCTGTAGTATTGCTTTATGGGGATTATGAATAAACTTAAGGCTTGTGGACTAACATTCCTGTTGCACTGAAAAAACAAGAGAAAAGGTGAGGGATTTTGGCTGATAGGTGAGGATGGAATTAACTAGAATTGCTTGTTCTCCCTGGAGGCCAAACGGCGCTTACAGCCTTTTAGGAATGGAAGACAAATGCATTTAGGTCTCATAACTGTTGTTGAGGTCCCCCATAACATGTGGCAGATACACTTTTGCTGTGACCCCTGATTCTTACCTGGTATACAAAAGGAAGAGGACTGCACTCACACCACAGGATTTCACTCCAGAATTACTATTTACTTTCATTCCTTTGGAAAGCTGCAGAATTTCCTTGTTCTCCCTGCTTTTCTGCAAGTCAACAGCCACTGCTCCGCTGCCAGGCCTGAGAATGCGTCTGTGTGCTAGAACATGTAGTCAAAAGTTCATTTTTGCTTTAAACCTAACCTGACACCTCCTGGAAGCAATGCAATTAGTTTGCCATTTGAAATACTTAAAATTAAATATGATTATACTCAAAGTTTAGTGGAAAAAAAGAGAAGTTCAGTGTTTGCCAAAGCCTCTACGTTGTGCAGCAGGTTTGGCAACCCGTTACAGCAGCTGAGTTCATGGCACCAAAGCATCCTAAAGGAATGCTGTGTCAGTGCCACACTGCCATCTTCTGGGTAATCTCAAATTCACAAAAATCAAGGAAATCTCATCACAAAAGTACAATGCAAACTGTAGCTGTAAAAGCATTTTCAGATTGTACATTCAAACAGACGTGACCATTTGATGACACCAAAATACCAACAATACCTGTGCAAAGTCATTCCTCTTCGTGCCACTCCCACGCAGCCACTGCTGGTTACACATGCAGGCGCTGCCAGGGCTCACTGCTCTGCTCTGTATTCACCATCACTGCTCACAGGAGTCACAGGAGATGCCTTCACTCATAAGCTGCAAATCAACAGTAATGGAACGCAGGAGGGTTTCTGTGGTGGTGGGATTGGGGGTTGGTTGTTTGGTGGGTGTTTGCATGTGTTGTTGGTTTTTTTGGCACTTCTGCAGCACGCTACAGAAACTGTATGGCAACACTTTGCTTCTGTCCTCCTTCTTTTGGTTGCCAATTTTCAGCGATTTTGATATTTTTACCTATACAGTGCAGGCTAGAACTCAAATGTAATTGCTGATCTTGGGGAAACAAAACAGAACTGACCCCCCTGGGGAAGAAGACCCCATTCCCTACACAGTATGCACACACAGCTGTCGGTGTTTGGATGTTCTCAGACCATTCTCTTCTGCCCACCTCTCCACAGCTCAACTGAACTAGACAGCTATTAGTCCAAGTTACTAAATATTTCATTCTGCTTGAATGGTAGGGCCTCTTTTCTTTAGCAGGACAATGAGGAGATCACCTGTAGCACGTTCTGTTGTTTTTTTAAATCTGTACCCATATCCTTTCTCTTACAGAAACCCGACATGAATGGCATTGTAAAACCACCCTTTCTAAGGTACATTTTAAAGCTGCTCATTCAATTATAGCTGTGTTGATTTTTAGTTTGATGTATGTTATTGTATTGACTGTGAGGGGAGCTGAGGATGTTTCTTCCCGAGCTGCCCTGACCCCTGGCAGCAGTGTTAGCCCCACTAATGAGTGCCAGAAGTGCTGTTAGGGGAGCACAGACCCTCCCAGAGCAGCAGGTGCTTCTTCTGTGGTTTGGCACAGAGTGGGGGTTAAATCCAAACTTCTTCAGAAGCCTTTTAAAGAACATGCAGATGGAACCAGGCAGTAACTTACCAACCCTGGGACTGCTGTCACGACAGCCCTCCTATGTAAGGCTGTTTTAAACGCTCGGGCTGAGCTAGGAGTTGTGTAGAGTCTGTTAGTGTGAAATTGTAAGGTGTTCTTCCAGCAGTGCTCCTTGTAGCACAGCGAGCCTTGCAGTAACTTTGTGCCTTTCTTTTCAGTGGAGAAAATCCTTTTGCAACTGTGAAACTCAGACCAACAGTAACAAACGACAGATCAGCACCCATTATTCGATGAATAGATGCCCCATATATATATATTTTCTCCTTACAAACATCATTTGCAGTAATGACAATTGCTATCTAAACTTGTCCTAAAAATTATTTAAGTGTAATTACTGTAAAATAGAATCATACTGGTATGGATTTCTGATTTTTAAACGCATTATTTCTAATGAGGCTGTTGCTTTGGGCTATGGTTGGAGCAGCTCAGCTTGGTTCTACAGTACGCCTTCTGCAGGGGATGGAATTGTGGAGATCCTGGAGATCGTTTGGATGCTCCAGGCAATCTGACTAACTAAAAGCTCACAGATCTGAGGATTTGGCATTTGTTGTTTGGAAATTGCCACGGTAAGCTGTAGAATGCAAGCCTTGCCTATGCCACTTACTCAATTAGAAAAGGCTGATTTTTTTTTAATACAGCAATGTACCAACTGCCTTATTCCAGCGTAGAGAATTGTCTGTATACAGTGACAACACATTGTTTTGTTTAAAAAGACACTCTTGGTTATAAATAAATATTTATCCTCTATGCATATGTAATGCTTTGCTTAATGGCAGATACAAGTTGTAAAATGTTAACATAAACCTATTTTAGGTCTAATATATTGTCAACATTCTTCAATAATATATATATATTTTTAAACACACCATCAAACTTCAGTCACGCAGAAATCTTACAGTACAAGTGCCATGCTTTTCCTTACACCACTACTACTGAAGTGGTTCATTGCTCTGTTAATGCAGCCTTGGATTAAGGCTGCTTTTCCTGTGAAGGAGCTGAGCAGTGGCACAAATGGCAGCAGAATGCAGCATCTCACCAAGCAAAATGTAACTGATACACCTAACTTCAGTCCCAGGGTTGTGCCTCACTACAGGCTTTGATTTCCTGCATCAAATAGACATAACTTGTCTGAAGAACTGTAATAATTACGTTAGAAATGAGCCTCTGATCTTACAGTGTCTCTTCTGCACAAGGTCGGGAACATTATGGCTGTACAGCACAAAGCTGCCTCCCAGCTGCTGCACGTGTTTCTCTGGCCTGTCCCAGTGCTCAGCCCTCACTCTTGGTCATCCCACCTTCCATAAGTACAGCACACACTCCTGCAGCATCCCAGGGCTGCTCCTGTAGTGGCTGTGACAGGAGATGCCTTTGGTTACTGGGTGTGAAAAGCAGCAGAGGAGCCTGCTGGCTGCAGGCCAGCACCCCTCATTCCACCTCCTCCCCTTGCACTGCCTGTCAGGTTTGTTGGCTATGGAACCTTCCATGAGTGCCTCACAGCCATCTGCAAACACATCTCAAGGGCATAACTCACACCTGAGCCAAAACATTAGAAAGGCAAGTCAAAGACCACAAGCCTTCAGCAGTTCCTTATCAGAGTGAAACAATGACGTGCCTAAACCTTTATGCTTGGAACTGAGCAGTGCCACTGCCTCTTCTTGGGTAAGCAATCCCTGCTGCAGCCAGAGCGACTGGTGGTGTACAACTACCACCAGTTCCCTGCTGGTAGGAAACCCCTGCTGCAGCAGGTAGGATTTGCTGCTACAAACCCTTGGAGATAACACTTCGCCCATCAGCAGCATCTGCCCTCACTAAACCAAAGCTCTGAGCAGCCTTCTGCAGAAGGAAGATAAGCTCACCCACCCCATTACATGGTGGCAGCACAGACAGCATTCGCACCGCTTTCCTCAAAAGCCTGCAGATGAAGGGATCCACCTGGTGAGGCAAAAACACCCCCTCACCTTACGTGTATGACCCTAAAACACCACTATTTTCCATCCTTGTCTGTAGCTAGGATTATTAACTTCACTTGCACACTAGACACCTTATCAGACACGTTAGTCACATATTTAATAATGCAGCCACAAGTTGAGGATTGCAAAAGGAAAAGCAGTTTTATTTAGTTTTCAAGAGGTGCCACTAAACATGGAAAACAAGTTCGGTTTTCATGTTTGCAATGCACATGCTCATAAAAGATTAAATTACATGCAAGAGACTAAATTTCTTCACACTTTACAAAACAGGTCTGAAGCAAATAAAATGATTGTACATGACATTTACATTAGAAAGAGTACGCTAACAGTTGTAGCTTCCATAGCACATCCACGTTCATCCCACTTAGCCAAAAGCCGCCCCGCAATTTGGGCATCTTCGCTGCCTCAGTGCAAGACAGAACAGAATCCCAATTGGAAAGAACACAATGGCACACAGAACACCGAGGCAGGTGAAGGTGTCCTCCAACACGCCAACCCTGCAGGAATGGAAAACAGACTGAGTCAAAGACCCCCCTGCGTTGAACCCAAGGTTACCTCTTTGTGATCTGACATTCAATAAAGCACCATTCCATGCAGCAGAAGGAAGAGCAGTGCGAAGAGGAGGCTTCTCCCCCCACCCCTTTAAAAGGCTTTTCTGCTCACAGCTTGCAGCAGAAGGCTTTGAATTACATCACTTAAAGAAACCCAAGAAATTCTCATGTGATAAGAGCAAGGACTGCAGATAAGACACGTGAAAGGTTTAATTCAAACCAGTATCTTGGCTCCAGACAGCAGCTATTTATCAACCACCACAGTCCTGGCCTGCTCCAACAGATAGCCGCCCAGAGCAGCTGTATTCATTGCAAACATTGCTGAATTCAAGTGCACTGAAGAATGCACACAGGTTGCCGCCTGCTCACACTCTGTCACAGGAATAACAGTTTAACAACATAGGAAATTTGAGCAGCTACAATAAGTACTCAGAACCAGAGGTGAGCAAAACACTTGAACAAGGAGGGCCCTCCTCTGACTGCCCACCACAGCGAAAGTCAACAGGAGCAGAGCTGAGTGACCTTGCAGTGCTCACTAACACAGGCAAGGCACCAAGGCCTGAGGGTGGTTTTTTCCCCACGCAGTGCTCACAGACAGCCTACTGTACAGCAAATAGAGTGAAGGAAAGATGCAGACTTTGAGACCATTCCCTTACTGCAATTGTTTAGAACTTCACATCTTGTTCAAACTTCAGTCTCATCTCCCTTTCCTGTTCTGACATGGTGCAAGTTCTGCAGAATTAGTTCCAGTGAAGTAGGCACCCGCTTTTTTTCCAAAGTTTCACAGCACTTCTTCCTCTTCAGACACTGGGAAAAACTCAGCATCTCCTTCCAGTCCCTTTTGGCTCCTGTTCTCATACCTCCATTACCAAAGCACAAATCTAAATATCGACATCAGCTTAAAAGTCCAACTTAAACTTTAACGTGGTGCTGCTGAAGCCCATAAAGCCATCCTTCTCCAGGATGGCACCTCTACATTCAGCACGTGGTACAGTCAGCACATGTCCTAAAGCACAGTGATTCTGGCTTGTCCCTCACAGATACTGTTTGTTAGTGCTTGTAATGCCAACATGTACAAAGTACTTGGTATGACTGCTCTGCTATCAGTATCTTGTTCTCCAGCTGAAACAAAGGTGTGTGTAAGAATGGGGCAGCACAGCCGTGGCTCCGTAAACAGATGTCTTTTTATCTTCTGCAAAAGCACGGGGCAGGCAGCACTGCTGAGACCTCCGCAAAGGGCTGCCGAGGCTGAAAGCTCTGCAGAAAGCACCTGCTGGGCTCCTGGATTTCAGCTGCTCTTGCCATGAGTTGCTGACTGAAAGAATGAATCAACTTAAAGCACAGAATCCCAATTCCATTTCTAATTCTTCTACTGCAAGTTTTGACACCGACCATTAACTAGAGATGCAGCAGCAAGAGCAGATTTCTTGGAGACAGGACAGCCTCTCATACAGTTTGCTGGAGCTCTCTCCTGTAGCCATGTTTGGCAGCCCCCATCTCTGTCCAGCTGATGCTGCAAATGGCTCCAATGGGGCTGATGAACATCATCACAGCCCTTTTGTGCCTGCAGGCTTGTTGACAAGAATGCCAGTAGGTTTATGAGGGTCTCAGAGACGGCTTCACACCTCTCCCACCTGGCACATAAAGCATTTCTACCCCTGCACTGAAAGTGCTGACAAACTACACCGTGTGCCAGCAGACAAAAAGGAGCCAGACCATCCCTGCTGCAGTAATGCACCCTCAGTCTGCCACACTGGCCACTGACTCACAGCACTTGCCCTGCATCACCTCAGCTAACAGTACTCTCACAAAGTACAGGCACTGGAGGTGCTCAGCTTGTTCAGCAGTGCTCTTCAGTCTGCCCTGTGCTCTGCTGCAACAAACCCCAGCCCAGGGTTCCCATCACAGCACAACACCAGCGGAGGTTTCCCTTCCCCTCTCACCACAGAGAATTCCCCATTAAACAGAAATAGCGGTGGGAAGAACAGCCAGAGGGGACAGATGGTACAGCAGGAGAAAGAAATGTGGAAGGAGCCATTAAAAAGTTACCAACAGAACAACAGTCAGCACTGTCCCAACTGGAAGAAAGGCAAATACTCTACAAAGGCAGATATTTTGCTGCATACACTCAGGATTATTAATGCTTCATCCAGACTTCTGCATGCAGATTTGGAAAGTTTCATCACAATTTCTTTGCTAGGGCACATCCAGATACTAGAACTGACACTACAACTAGTTATGTTGTAAGTGACCCTCAAAATTAGACTGCAATTAAAGACTGTGCTGTAGTCAAATATTGTGTCTGGTATTTGTGGAAAAGCATGACATGCTGAACACCCCAAGTAAAGATCAGTGGCAGAAGCTGGGGAATGTCAGATAAGGCCTCTCTGTTTCCCTCTGCACAGGTTAACCAGGTAACACACTACATTAGCAGACAGGTACAGATGCAATGCAGATGTCTCTAAATAATTACAGATTTAGGCAGTTTCCAGTACTACAGAAAAGGCAAAGAAAGGCAAAGCCCATTTCCAGGCCTTTCAATGACACAAGAAGCATTGCTTTGGAAAAGGCCCTCCAAGTATGCAGCACAGTTTGTGGGGGCTACCGAATTCCTCCCATGTCTTGCTGTTACACTAACAGCAGCATTTCAGCTTGCACACACTGAGCATCCTCTTCCTAGAAGCATTCAGCTCTTGCTTTGTTATTGTTTGTGTGCCTTTGCCTTGTCTGGTATGAGTTTCATGCTAAGCTCCCGCCCTGGAGTCTACCTTTGTGACAACTAAGTCAGTGCTCAGCGGAGAACATAAGCAGCCTCGCTGTGATTTGGCCTCAAGGAACTGGTTGAACATCAGAGGGCTCATAGGTATTTCTGCTCAGCCCCACGGAGCTGCAAACCCAGCACTGAGGACTGCTGTCCAACCTGTTACCATCAGCCCCCTGAATCAGCCTGCAAGGAGCCGAGTCCTCCGCTCTGCAGGCATCCCTGACACTTTAGATAGAATTTACTTCAAACACTTCCCCCTAAACACGGGGATCCAGGAAGTACCCCTTGGTCACACTAAGTGCCAATTAAAAAAAAAAAAGCAACAAATTGTGATCAGATTCACTGCCAGCAGCAGAACCGGCCCTGAGGGACAGAGCAGCTACGGGATGCACAGAGGTACGGATGTGCCAACCTGCAGCACGGCACAGCACGGCACTCAGTCACACCACAGCAGTCACCACACGAGCACTTTCTGGTCTGTGGGTTTGTGTCAGCACCTAATTTTAGATGAACACTTATCCAGTCACCGCCCCTGCTTACGGAGTTACTAAATGGAGGAGGAGAAAAGAACTTTTTATAAAGGAGAACATGAACATTTTAGTTTGTGCTCGTGTACCTCAGCAACAGAGTGATCAGATTCCATATGCAAACTGTAGATTCATTAATGTAACCAAACATAAGTTTTGTTCTATGGCATAACCACATATAAGCTGATTAGAAGTGCACCACTCCCCATCTAAAAGTGGAAAGGTTTATTTATACTGCAAGCAGTGTCTAGGGTTTAAGCTATACTGCAGCTGCCAGCTCCATAAAGTAAGGTCAGTTATCCCCACTGACGAGCATTTAATGTCAAATTACTTTTCAGACAAATCTTTTCTTGAAAGTCAGTCTCTAAACATGAAGTCTCACGCTCAGGATCAGAGAGGCAACACTGAGATTTGCAAACTCAACACCAGTGCAATTTAATGTGGGCATTTTTAGACTTAACCTACATCACAGCATTTGAATGTATGCTTGTCAGCGTTTTTCATCCCTTATTAAGTGACAACCAAGGGCCATCCCAATCAAAGACAGCACTCCAGGTGCACGATCAGCCCTGCAGGGCATGAAAAGAAGCTACACTTCACTGACAGGACCCTGCAGCTGTCTCACACACTGACCAGACCCATAAAGCAAGTGCAGATCTCAGAGCAGTGTCCATTCCCAGGCACAGCGCTGGCAGAGTCTTTAACTTTAGATTTCAGTGGAGGCTGTCAATGCAACTTCCAAAGTTAACTGTGAACAGGAAAACAGAGACAGCTCCTCTTTGTGCCTATCCTACCCAATGCAGCAAGAGCAGCTAGGTTTAGCAGTTTCACCTCCGAGCAGCAGCAGCAACTGACAGTGAAGCATGCCATTACTTCTGCAAGAGCTGCCAGCCCCTCCAGCCCCAGCTCATGCACACCCAGTGGTTTCTGATCTGTGTTTTCCCTCACTCACCTGCATACACATCCAAATTACTGCACCTCTGGATACCTTTTCACCCAGCAAACAAGACCAGGCTCCTCCTCCTTGCCACAAGGACAGCCAGTTGTCAGAATACAGACACCCACACAAATGGGGACAGGAAGACAGGGCCATCAGCTCTGACACAGTGACTGGCTGGGAGCTGGGGACCAGATTATTTTATGTATTTTTAATTTCTTATTTAAAACAGTGGCTCTTAAGGGAATAGGTTTCTGCTGTACCTTGTTAGCTGCATAAAGCCTCGTTTATTAAAAAAAAGATGTGTTTTGATTATTTTCCAAAACTCAATTCAAAACAGTAGCATAAAAACCCCCAGGAAGTGCAAGAGCTGTGCTGTTCTCACGTGGGACCCCCCGGAGGGGCTTAGCACCCCCCCTGCTGGCCTCGGGCAATGGTTCCTGCTAAGCACTGCCTGCCTCCACTCCAAGGCAGGGAAAAAGTTACAGCTGTGCTAGCCAGTGATGCCAAGAGGCACTCGTGGCTTCTGCTCAAGTCTGCTCTGTCACAGCTTTCTTCTTAGCAGTCACATGCAGAAGTCACTGCTGAATTTCATGCCCTAACTGCTGCAGCCACCAAATCACAGCACAGCAGGGAAGAACGCCCCAACGTTCCCAGCAGCAAACCTTCACAGAAAGCTGAGCATTAAGAAAAGGAGCTCCTTCCATCCTCACCACAGGCCCACCTTCCTTGTGACACAAAGCAGCACCACAATAGAGCTGCTGCACTATTACAGCTGCCCCTCTTCAGAGCAGCCTTTTCAATGCCAGTTCAAAGCTGGCTTTGCTCACAAGACTCCAAAGGGTCCCTGCAGCACATCAGCCTGCTGCACAAACCAAAACACAGCTCTTCCTTAAGAGAGCACATCTGATCAGTAGCTACATCCTTCTGCTTCCTGGGATGCTCAGTGATACACACTGTGAAAGGATAAATGGAACGTTTAGTTAACATTTAAATAGCTTTACCCTGAACAACCACGGAAACCCTGTGCCCTGAAAGAGCTTCTGCCAAATCACACACAGCACCTGCGACTGAAATAACCTAAGTGAAGCCTGAGGACTGAAATTCTGAAGGAGTTTAGCACTGAAATGCAGCTTTCCTAGAACGTACTCTCTGAGCAGTGATGCTCCTAACTGGATTTTAAAAACAAAACTAACAAAATCTCAGAATCTACTCCTTTAGCAGGTCAGAACCAACCAAGACAAGCCCCACAGTCTGTGGCAGGAAGAAGGCTCCAAGAGATGTGAGAATAAGTGAGGATTTATTCACAGCTGTCTCATTCTCCAATCCCAGCAGAAGTTTCTTACAATTATTATTACAACCTGGGACCCACCACAACCCTTCTCAAGGAGGTATTTTACAGCTGTCAGAAGACAGAACCACCACAATCCAGAAGCTATGCATTTTCCCCTCATCCTTTCCTTCAAACAACTGAGGACTGATTAAATAGGAACATCAAAGCCCACCAGGGCCAATCACAGTTCTGCCCCAGGTTCTGGAAGAACCCCCCTGCAAACTTCAGGTAAAAGAGTGCTTTCACAGTTTTTCAATAGATCTATCTTCTATTAAGCAATGGGAAAGCAAACGCCCCTCTGCAGTTTGTAATGCTACCACCAAAAGACGGGGAAAAAGAAAAGGGAGGCGACCTGAAGGGAAGCTGCTGAACTGCCATCTCCGGGCTAAAAAGACAACGACATGGCTGAACCTCAGTGGTGGCTGTAATGACTCAAACTGTTCTTGGGAACAGAAGATAGTTCCTAGTTTCAAAGCCAGACTTTGTCAATCCTTACATGTCAGCTTCCTGCAGTAAAAGCGACAGCATTCTGCATCTCAGTTTGATCCTCTGCACGTCAGACTGGCTGGAAGGAAGAGCTTGCACTGAGCCAGCAGCACTACAGCCAGCCTAGGCTTCGAGTGACACAAAGACAGAACACGCAGCAAGGCTGAAGTCTGTAATTAGAAAGCAACGCTGACCAAGGATGAATGAGGATGATGTGCCTAATGAATAACTTCAGGCAGGAGGGACAGATCACAAGACGGGAGAGTCATCCCTCAGAGACAGCAGTGCTTCAGAGAGTAAGTTGTTGTTTCAAAAGGCATTAACGTGGTGAGCAGGGACACCACCAGCTATCTCTAGAGGAAACTTCTGAAGACACTTGTACATATTCATTTCTTTTAATTCACAGGACAAATGGAGCCTGAAGCTCAGCTAGCCACCATGGGATGTTACTTCCAAAATCATCTGTGACTGCAGTGAATGGCCTCTGCCCAAATAACAGACCAGTACTGCATGTTTCTCCTCACCATCAAACGTTTTACATCAGAAATGGTTTTCAGTTCAATCAGCACCATTCACATGCCACAGTGCAGAAGCCTGACTTGTGCTTCTGAGGGCAGGGACTCCATCAGTGGGCTCTAGCTGTGTCAGTTATGTTCCTGGCACAGCCACAACCAAAGGGTTTTCCTCATGTTCAAAAGCAGGTGAATTTCTCTAATAACTGTGCATAGTACCAAATCAGAGGAGTAACAGAAAGACTGGCTCTGTAGCTTAATAAAATTTTTACACACCATTAACAGCTTTTTATGTTACCAATGCCTCTCAGTATCCTTCTGTTCAGCGTGGCATTCAGAACGTATCTGCATGTTGCACTCTCCACAAAATAGGTTTCCAGGCCAAGAAGTGAGCTAGAACTACATTCGAGGTCTCAAGGAGTCAAAGAGGATTCTGAGCTGTAGGAGAATAAGCCAGGGTAACCTTGCAGAACACCCAGCCTGCCTCTTCGGGATCCCGCTAACAGACGAGCAGCACGCTTCCCACCAAATCGCACAGCTTCTCCTGCAGCACCACAACATCAACTCCTTATCTAATCAGAAGACAACCACACAGTGCTTCTCTTCCCTCAGCATGATCACCGAGGCTTTGACTCCTCTAAATAGTTGGGAAAAAGCACTGTGCAAAGGCTACGACACGTCGTTGCTCAGCGCTGGGATTCCGACCAACAGCAGCCCAGCAGGGCTGAGGAGAGCCCTGCAGTTGGAGCTGCACAGCACCTCACAGGAGCACCACGTTCAGAACTCTGGCTGCCCCCAGCAGCACCAGGCTGATGACTGAAGAAAACTACTGAAATCAGGTCACTTAAGAATGCCTTACAAATATTCAGACTCGCTCATTTTCACAGATTAGGCTAAAAAGGACCCTAGGCACAGATACTATACTTGCAAATTATCCTTTCAAAAGAATCTCCTAGAGCATCTCAGCATCACTACAAGAAAAATGAAGAAACCCTAAAGATACCAGCAGGAGTCTACCAACCCCCAGTCATCACAGAAGGTACTTCCATATTCTTTTTTTTCAGATTTCTTGGGTTTAGGGCAAGGTCTGTATAACCCACTGCCTGCCTCACCAAGCAAGGCATAACATCTCTCCTGTCTCCTGGCTGGGCACATAGACACCCAGCATTAGTGGAATGACTCCAGCAGCAGGACTGACCACACTCACAGCTCAGAGGCTACTTTCCCTCACTGTTTAAAACATACATCTTCTGGATTAAGAGCTCTAGCTGGTACAGGATTCTCAGCCTTACCTAGTGGAATTTCAGCAGGCAGGTGCTGACTTTCAAATGGACAGCAGTTCTAACAAAACCAAAAGGCATGTGACACAGCCTCTGCCATCACAGCCATCTCCATCACTTCTGCCACACTGAAACCTGACATTGTTTAAGCTACTCCAGCAAGTCTGCTTCCTCCATGTTTTGAAATAGACCATAAAAGGCTCAGACTTGCAGAAAACGAGTGCCTTTTCATAAGACACCAGAAGGGCAGTTCTGATACATTCTAACAGAAGGACTCTGCGTTTGAGTCCGAGCTGCCCAGGCACATAAATGCCTCAGCTGCACCAGCAGCAACCAGGCTGCCTTCACCATTCGTCAATATCCTGGGATGAGCAGAGCTGAGAAGTGCAAAGGAACCACTGCAGACTCACAACACTGATGTTATGCCTGCCCTCTTCCTTTTCCTTTTTTCTTAGATCATTTATTTTACGGCTGTTGATCTCTGATGTCATCATTTCGCTGCAATCCCAACTAACAGCTGACTGCTCTTTTTCTGGTTTTCACCACTTCGTCAGATTAACACTTGGAACCACAACTATTGCTCTTCCTGTACTTCTACAGTAAAGGCACTCCTAAAGTAAGAGAACTTCCAAACCCAACAGCGCTGATGCTCCCACTCAATACTGCGCATTGCCCCGCTTGGCTCTGTGCAGCCTGGGCTGGGGAAGGAGACTCAGCGCAGCACTGCTGGAGAACAGAAGTGCTATGGTCAGAAACCACAGCGTTTCACAATGAAGTCACGCTTCCAGTGGTCACAAGTGCAGCAGAAAGAACTTTCTGGCACCCCTTCTCCCAACAACCCACCCTCTGCATCCGTCACTGAACTTCCTTTTCCTTAAGAACAGCTTGCAGATCTTCCTCTGCACAGAACAGATCCATGTTTGCAAGAAGCCTATTGTATCAATGACAGCAGTCATCTGGAGCCCACTGGGATGTACCACATTAAAGCACTGCAAAACTTCTGTGCTTTTTTTAGTTAGTTCCATTCTAATACACACACAAACAGAAAACCAAGCAATTACACAGGCACTTCTCATCTCAAACATAAAACCCAGGGCAGTTTCTCTCTCAAGAAGAGGAGGGTTTTACCTGCAGGCGGGACAGCCTCCAACTACTACAACAGAGGTGGTGGCAGCAGGCTGCTGAATGATGGTGTATGTGCTCGAGTAGTTGGGCTGCGAGGCCGGCGGAGGAACAGCATAGCCTGAAATAAAAACCAGAGCTGCATCACTGCGTGCAAGGCATGGGGGACAACAGTAACTTGGTAGAAGGTCTGGAAGGGGAACGTGGAATAAAGGCAGACACGTCTTGGCAAAGCACTGCATGAGTCTGCCGAAATCAGGGCTGAAACAAAACTATCAGCAAACGCAACAAGAAAACCACTTCATGAATCCAAGTATCTAGTACAATTTAACTATCTAAAAAGGGCATTAAGCTAATAATTAACTCTGAGTTTGGATCAGCACTGTTGGAACAGCAGGGAAAAACAGCTTAAACAAGTGAGGACTGCGGATTTCAGTTCTGGACGTTACGTATCAGCAACGTCTCACTCCAGAAACAAAGCGGGGCGCACAGAACAAACCCTGCTTTGGCTCCCAGGTTACGGCTGCAGGGAGGTGGGAGGGCAGCGCACCAGCAGAGGGGCAGCACGGCACAGAACGAAAACCCCGGCAGAAAATCCGCATTCTTAGTGAGCGAATGCGTTATCCGAACTGTAGGTAGAAGGCTACATACGTTATTAACGTTAACGTCAAAAACGAAGAAATCAGGGCTATCTGACGGGACGGGCAGGTGCAGCCACAAGTTGAGCCGCACTTTCCCCAGCGCAATCCGCCCCGAGGAGGCAGCCCGGCTCGGACGTTTCCCGAGCGCTGTCAAACACCGCCGCTCCCGCAGCTCGGCGGGCAGAGCGCGGCCGCCAGCCACCCCACACCGCAGGAGGCCGCGGCGCGGCGCGGTGCGAGCTGCCCCGTGCCCCAGGCCGGCCGCTCCTCTGCGCCGCCCGCCCCTCCCGCCCCTCGCCGGCCCCGGGCCCCGCGAGAACCGAGGAACCGAAGGGGGCCCGGAAAAAACAACGCGAGCGGGGCGCGTCGCGAGGCGCACGCACAGAGCGCGAGTCCGCCGGCTCGTTTCCGCCCGCTCGCGTTTCCGCGGAGGAGCCGCGCCGCCGGGCGCACGGAGCCGGCACAGGCCACGGCCCGCGGCCCTTCCCGAGGCGCCCGGCCCCGCCGCGCCGCCCCCGCCTCGCACCCACCTGCGGCGGCCGCGGCGCCCGGGTAAGGGTACGGCGGGGGCGGCTGGAAGCCGGGCTGCGGGGCGGGGATGGCGCCGTAGTTGCTCTGCCCGTAGTCGTAGCCCGCGCCCGGCGCGGCGGGGCTGTAGGCGGGCGGCCGCTCCTGCAGCAGCGGCTTGCTGTCCATGCTGGGCGCGGAGCGGAGCGGCGACCGCCGGCGGGGCGAGGAGGAAGCGGCGCCCTCGCCTCGGCGCCCAACTTGCCGGGCGCCGCCCTCCGCCCCGCCCGGGGGCGCCGGAGCTCGGCGGCGGCGCGAGTTCCCCCGAGGCGGCGGCGCGGCGGGCGGGGGAAGGCGGAGCGGAGCGGCCCCTGGCGGGCGGGCGGCCCCTGCCCTGCGCCCTGCGCCCCGCCGCGGGAGGGAGGGAAGGAGGGCGGGCGGCCCCGGCTGCCGAGCGCGCGGCCGGTCACAAGACTGCGCCCCACGTGACTCCGCTTCCCGGCGGCGCGGGTGACTCCGAGGCGCCGCCTTAAAGGGGCCGCGGCACGGAGCCGGGCGGGGCTTCTCCGTACGGCGCGGGGCACCGGGCACCGGGCACCGGGCACCGGCCGTGCTCTGCCGGCGGCTCCCGCCTGCCGCGCGTCGCGGGAGTTTTTGCAGGAAAAGTGAAAAGCACAACTGCAATGCAATGCGGTGCGGCGCTTCCTCATCCAGGGAAAGACGCTTCCCCGAAACGAACGTGATGTGGCGGGGAGAAATCCTCTTTTGAGAAGCGAGGTTTGGGAAGAGCCGCGTGCCGGGGACGCGGGGAGGGGCTCTGAGTGCCGCTTCTCCAGCACGGGGGCTCACAGCCCGGCCGGACATCAGCGCGGTGGGGTAACGTTGCCCCGCGTTCACACAGCAACCTCACCGCTCTGCCGGGCACTGAAACCGACGTCTGGCCCAGAGCCCGTTTGCAAATACCTGTTGGATTTTACAAAATATCCCTCGTTACCTCCTACAGAACAGACGCCACTAATGTAACAACAGCCACTGAACGAAGCTCGGCCTCAGGCACCGCTGAACGCGAACCCCCGGGCACGGAGGCGCAGCGGAGCCGTTGGCAGGAGCCGCACACAACCCGACCTCGCGTGGAAGCTCCAACATGAGCTGCCTGTCAGCAGCGTGTCGTGGGACCTGGGCTCGTTGCATAACCATTCCTGCCACCATCGGGCAGAATCACAGGGCTGTGGTTCAGATCCAAACCGTGCGAAATTCACGGAAAATACTCCTTAACGTCTTCTTCTGATGCCCAGAAAATAATGGAAGTCTTGGTTTCATCCACTCAAAAAGACATCTGGACTAATAACCACTAACCGTAACAGAAATACAGCTGCCCAAACACCTGCAGAATGAAATTCTGATCATAAAATGGTGTTTTATAGATAAATTTCACTAAAATGCTCAAATCATCAGAACGGTGCTGGGAGCAGTGCTGCAAAGGGCCCAGCGACACGGCAGCAGCTCTGCCCCATGGGCACCGAGCCCACGGAGTGGGGCACGGAGCACAGAGCAGCACAGAGCAGCACAGAGCCTGCTGTGCTCTCCACAGCCACCAGAAGCCCCCGGTCTGATCCCATCAGCCTGCCCGCTCCCTGTGAGGGAGGCCTGCCCTGAAGGACAGCTTTCCATCCTCCCGCATTATCTTTGGGATGCGCAACAATCAGAAATCGTTTTTCTTTGCAGGTCTCTTCGCGTGGCCGTGCGAACTGACAGACGTGGAAGTTCCCGTCTGTCTCGTGAGATTCCTTGACTCCCTTTGGAAGGGCCTGGAACAGGGTGTCAAAAGCGGGGCTCTCCCTGCAAACCCCTCCGCCGGAGCTCCGTGGGCTGCAGGCGGCCCAGCACACGTTGGGTGTCCTTCCTTCCCCCACCCCCCCACACCCCGAGCCGTGCCAGGAAGGATCCCCTCGGTCTGACGCTCCAGGCAAAGCGTTTACATTTAGGCTGAGCTTAACGCACGTTTGTTCCAACCCGGCCAGCAACCGGCACCCAGCGCACGGAGCCGCCCTGTCCGCCCCAGCGGCTTTCCCGGGGAACGGAAGCCTCCCGCAGCCGCAGCCCCGCGCCGGGCGCAGCCGTGACGCCGCCCGCCCACCGGCGACGGGGCGGCCATTGGGAGCGCGGCCGTCACCGCCCCGCGCCGCCGCGCTGCGGGGCCGCCGGGCCGGGCCGCGCCGGGGCGAAGCGGGCTCCGTTCCGCAGGAGAGGAGCGGCGAGGCCGGCGCAGGGCAGGTGAGCGGCGGGAGGGCGCGGAGCCCCGCGGGAAGGAAGCGGCGGACGGGGCGGCGCTGACGGCCGCGGGCGCGGGGCGGCTGCCCGGCCTCAGCGTCGGCTCCGCCTCGGCCGTCCCGCATCTCCGGGCGCCGTGCGTGCGATGCGTTCCGAGATCCGCGCGGATGCGCAGCGGCGAGCCCGCGGCCGCGGTGCCGCCGTGAGACCGGCGACGTGCGCTCCTTTGCGATGCATTGACGTCGTCTGCGGCCGTCTCGGGGCCGAAGTCCCGCGGCGGGGCTCCCTGGGAGCTGCCGGGCCGAACCGCAGGCGCGGAGCTGCGCGTGGAATTCTCCGCCTCGGGCCCGCCGGCAGGAGATCTCGGCCGGCAGCTGCTGCCTTCGTTGCGGCAGCCGTAGCCGTACTGATGGCAGCGCGGCTGAGCTGCGGGGGAGGCGGCGGGGGCCCGGGAACGGCAGCGGCACCGCAGGCACCCGGCGGCCACGCGGCCCGGCAGCGTTTGGCTCTGCGTGCGGCGCAGCCCGCGCACCTCCGTTCCTTCGGGATTTCCCACAGTTGTCCAAACGCTCCGTCTCAAAATTTCAAAGGACGATACCCAGAAACCCGTTTATTTCAGCTGCCTTGAATCCCTTAATTCAGCTGTGTGAATTTTCAGAAGCATACAAGTTGTTTAAATGCACATCTCTGACTGAAAGAGCCCTGGCCATCAGCTTCACAGGGGCTCTTTTTAAAATATTGTTCTTCACTTTTTTTTTTTCTTGTAATTTGGCTGGGGCTGGCTCAGAGCAGAACGGGACACGTTTTTCAAAGCTGACATTTCCATTATTTACCCATTTTTGCCTTTCAGACATGGCCATGTCCAGTTCCCTTCTGTGGGCTGTTGACATTTTCGGGAGGGTTTACACTCTGCCTACAGTCGGCCAATACTGGGAGCTCTGTAAGGACACACAGCTGGAATTCAAGCGGGTCTCTGCTGTCAAGCAGTGCTGCTGGGGAATAGGCTGTGACCATCAGGTGTACACCTACGTGTTCTCGGGTGATGTTCCCATCAGATACCAGGAAGAAACCTATGAGAATCAGGTATGCAGTATTATGGGTGCTTCTGCCATGTATTCTTCAGAATGAAACAACAGTACATCCTTAGATCAGCTGTCTCTGCATGTTTTTCTCATCCTATAACTCGTGCTTCTGAAGGGCACGTATGTGCCAGCTAGGTTACTCTCTCAATGTTTTAATTCCCGAAGGAAAGTCTTTCCAATGCAGCAGCAGCAGGTGCAGCACACTGCACACCACTTCGGGTGGGAGCTGATGAGTGCAGTGGGTGACAAACACACAGTTCCCTTACAAACACATCCAATGTAACTTCCAGCCAATAAAAGCACATTATTCTTAAGAAAATACTGTTTTTGTAATGTATCAATGAATTATCTGATAAGGGCACTGACTCTCCATTAGAGTCCATTTCCAGCTTTCTTGTATTAAAAATGTTATTAAGATGATCCTTTCAATGGAAGACACTTGAAAAGAATGTCTTTAAAATAGTATTTAAAGAAAATTTCTCTATTTTCTTTTTAACTTAACCAGAAGTTATTTGAGAGACAAAACAGGAGGATTCTCTTCAATACATTTCACAGCTTTCTAAGGGGTAAAGGGATAAATGTAAGCTGAGAACAGACATTAACTTATCTACATAGGTGAAAACATAACGAACTAATTTAATACATAATTTAACACTGATACAACTTTCCAGTCACTTAAGAATGTTCCTTGCCTGTGGAAACAAGTTCTTTAAGAAATGCAAAACTTTAACAGCTATTTGGTTTGTTATTGCAAACTTCTGTTTGTTCTAGCCTAAGAAAAATGGAAAACAAGATATAAGAAAGCACAAAAAAGTTTTCTGCAAGAGCTGACAACAACAGAATTAAACTCCAGCAGTACCCTAACATGCAGGGCAGTGTTACCTCACAAAGCTCACCAGTGTTTCTATAATGGGCAAAACTGGGGGGGGGGAAAGAAGAATCACAGCTGTGCTGGGGAAAAGCCAAACAAATTGTCTGTTCTGCAACTGATTAAAGGCAGATTTAGGACAAAAAAAACCCTCTTTGTAACATAAGGTACAAGAGCATTTACTGATGTAGTTGCCTTGATGTGGTTTCTGGCATAGAAATGATGCTGTTTGCCTAGTGCAGGCACGATGCTATTCATCTTTCTCCTGTGAGTTACCCCAGAAATCCAGTGCCATGTAGGCAGCAGTTATCCTAATGCTACAGTGCCACACATCACCAATGTACTGTTAGCAGTAAACTACATCACTGGGCATTGCTATTTACATAGCTGAAAACTACTTGGTTGGGACCAGCACTGCAGTCAAGCAGCCCTTCTCTGATGCTTTAAAAAAGCTCCTTCCAAAGAACACAAACTGCAGCCCTGCAGCATCAACTCTTGCTCATCCACCCCAAGAATCAATCTTACTCTGATCTAGCTAAAAATACACTCATTGCTTACGATTCAGTTGGGGTTTGCAGATTCCACTGTGGGGATGGGACCTCAAGTAAAACATTTCCTCTGTTTTCTGGCAGCGCTGGAATCCAGTCGGGGGCTTTTGTGAGAAATTACTGCCCAGTGACCGCTGGCAGTGGAGCGATGTGAGCGGGCTGAAGCATCAGCAGCTTGATAGCTTCACACTGCCTTCACCACACTGGGAGTGGGAGTCTGACTGGTATGTGGATGAAAATATTGGAGGGGAACCAACAGAGAAAGGGGTAGGTGAACAATACTGAAAAGAGATCTGTTCTGGGAATCCTTAGTCTGTAAACTAGAAGGCATTTTTAGAAGTGGGAGAAGGGTCTGTGAAAATAGAAAGCACTTCCCATAGCTGCTTCTTTCTGGAGATGGCTCAGCTACAGTACAGCACGAGGAAGAATCTTGTTTGAAGGCTTCTTAAGTTTATAGAAGTTGTTTTTTCTCCTTGGCTCGGGCCATGAGCTGCTTGGTAGCACTGCTTTTCATAA